AAAGTGTTCCTATTTCTCTACATCCTCTCCAGCACCTGTTGTTTCCTGACGTTTTAATGATCGCCATTTTAACTGGTGTGAGATGGTATCTCATTGTGGTTTTGATTTGCATTTTTCTGATGACCAGTGATGATGAGCATTTTTTCATGTGTCTGTTGGCTGCATAAATGTCTTCTTTTGAGAAGTGTCTGTTCATATCCTTTGCCCACTTTTTGATGGGGTTGTTTGATTTTTTTCTTGTAAATTTGTTTCAGTTCTTTGTAGATTCTGGATATTAGCCCTTTGTCAGATGGATAGATTGTAAAAATTTTCTCCCATTCTGTAGATTGCCTGTTCACTCTGATGGTAGTTTCTTTTGCTGTGCAGAAGCTCTTTAGTTTAATTAGATCCCATTTGTCAATTTTGGCTTTTGTTGCCATTGCTTTTTGTGTTTTAGTCATGAAGTCCTTGCCCATGCCTATGTCTTGAATGGTATTACCTAGGTTTTCTTCTAGGGTTTTTATGGTTTTAGGTCTAACATTTAAGTCTTTAATCCATCTTGAATTAATTTTTGTATAAGATGTAAGGAAGGGATCCAGTTTCAGCTTTCTGCATATGGCTAGCCAGTTTTCCCAACACTATTTATTAAATAGGAAATCCTTTCCCCATTTCTTGTTTTTGTCAGGTTTGTCAAGATCAGATAGTTGTAGATGTGTGGTGTTATTTCTGAGATCTCTGTTCTGTTCCATTGGTCTATATCTCTGTTTTGGTACCAGTACCATGCTGTTTTGGTTATTGTAGCCTTTTAGTATAGTTTAAAGTCAGATAGCGCGATGCCTCCAGCTTTGTTCTTTTTGCTAAGGATTGTCTTGGCTATGCAGGCTCTTTTTTGGTTCCATATGAACTTTAAAGTAGTTTTTTCCAATTCTGTGAAGAAGGTCATTGGTAGCTTGATGGTGATGGCATTGAATCTGTAAATTACCTTGGGCAGTATGGCCATTTTCATGATACTGGTTATTCCTACCCATGAGCATGGAATATTCTTCTATTTGTTTGTGTCCTCTTTTATTTCCTGAGCAGTGGTTTCTAGTTCTTGAAGAAGTCCTTCACATTCCTTGTAAGTTGGATTCCTAGGTATTTTATTCTCTTTGTAGCAATTGTGAATGGGATTTCACTCATGATTTGGCTCTCTGTCTGTTATTGGTGTATAAGAATGCTTGTGATTTTTGCACATTGAGTTTTGTATCCTGAGACTTTGCTGAAGTTGCTTATCAGCTTAAGGAGATTTTGGGCTGAGACAATGGAGTTTTCTAAATATACAATCATGTCATCTGCAAACAGGGACAATTTGACTCCTCTTTTCCTAATCGAATACTCTTTATTTTTTTCTCCTGCCTGATTGCCCTGGCCGGAACTTCCAACACTTTGTTGAATAGGAGTGGTGAGAGAGGGCATCCTTGTCTATGTTGGTTTTCAAAGGGAATGCTTCCAGTTTTTGCCCATTCAGTATGATATTGGCTGTGGGTTTGTCATAAATAGCTCTTCCTATTTTGAGATATGTTCCATCCTTACCTAGTTCATTGAGAGTTTTTGGCATGAAGGGGTGTTGAATTCTGTCGAAGGCCTTTTCTGCATCTATTGAGATAATCATGTGGTTTTCGTTGTTGGTTCTGTTTATGTGATGGATTACATTTATTAATTTGCGTATGTTGAACCAGCCTTGCATCCCACAGATGAAGCCAACTTGATCTTTGTGGATAAACTTTTTGATGTGCTGCTGGATTTGGTTTGCCAGAATTGTATTGAGGATTTTTGCATCTATGTTCATCAGGGATATTGGTCTAAAATTCTCTCTTTTTGCTGTGTCTCTGCCAGGCTTTGGTATCAGGATGATGCTGGCCTCATAAAATGAGTTAAGGAGGATTCCCTCTTTTTCTATTGATTTGAATAGTTTCAGAAGGAATGGTACCAACTCCTGTTTGTACTTCTGGTAGAATTTGACTGTGAAAGTGTCCAGCCCTGGGCTTTTTTTTTTTGGTTCATAGGCTATTAATTGTTGCCTTAATTTCAGAACCTGTTGTTGGTGTATTCAGAGATTCAACTTCTTCCTGGTTTAGTCTTGGGGAGGATGTATGTGTCCAGGAATTTATCCATTTCTTCAAGATTTTCTAGTTCATTTCCGTAGAGGTGTTTATAGGTGTTTATAGTATTCTCTGATGGTAGTTTGTATTTCTGTGGGATTGGTGGTGATATCCCATTTATCATTTTTTATTGCATCTATTTGATTCTTCTCTCTTTTTGTCTTTATTAGTATTGCTAGCAGTCTATCTATTTTGTTGATCTTTTCAAAAAACAAGCTCCTGGATTCATTGATTTTTTTGAAGGGTTTTTTTTGTGTCTTTATCTCCTTCTGTTCTGCTCTAATCTTAGCTGTTTCTTGCCTTCTGCTGGCTTTTGAATTTGATTGCTCTTACTTCTCTAATTCTTTTAATTGTGATGTTAGGGTGTCGATTTTAGATGTTTCCTGCTTTCTCTTGTGGGTATTTAGTGCTATAAATTTCCCTCTACACACTTCCTTAAATGTGTCCCAGAGATTCTGGTACGTTGTGTCTTTGTTCTCATTGCTTTCAAATAATATCTTTATTTCTGACTTCATTTTGTTATTTACTGAGAACTCATTCAGGAACAGGTTGTTCACTTTCCATGTAGTTGTGTGGTTTTGAGTGAGTTTCTTAATCCTGAATTCTAATTTGATTGCACTGTGGTCTGAGACAGTTCGTTGTGATTTCTGTTCTTTTACATTTGCTGAGGAGTGTTTTATTTCCAATTATGTGGTCAGTTTTAGAATAAGTGCGATGCGGTGTTGAGAAGAATGTATATTCTTTTGATTTGGGGTGGAGAATTCTGTAGATGTCTATTAGGTCCACTTGGTCCAGAGCTGAGCTTAAGTCCTGGATATCCTTGTTAACCTTCTGTCTTGTTGATCTGTCTAATGTTGACAGAGGGGTTTTAAAGTATCCCATTATTATCGTGTGGGAGTCTAAGTCTCTTTGTAAGTCTCCGAGAACTTGATTTATGAATCTGGGTGCTCCTGTATTGGTTGCATATGTATGTAGGACAGTTAGTTCTTCTTGTTGAATTGATCCCTTTACCATTATGTAATGGCCTTCTTTGTCTCTTCTGATCTTTGTTGGTTTAACGTCTGTTTTATCAGAGACTAGGACTGCAACTCCTGCTTTTTTTTTTTTTGCATTTGCTTGGTAGATCTTCCTCCATCCCTTTATTTTGAGCCTGTGTGTGTCTCTGCATGTGAGATGGGTCTCCTGGGTACAACACACCGATGGGTCTTGACTCTTCATGCAATTTGCCAGTCTGTGTCTTTTACTTGGGGCATTTAGCCCATTTACATTTAAGGTTAATATTATTATGTGTGAATTTGATTCTGTCATTATGATGTTAGCTGGTTATTTTGCCCGTTAATTGATGCAAGCTCATCATAGCATTGATGGTCTTTACAATTTGGCGTGTTTTTTTCAGTGACTGGTACAAGTTGTTCCTTTCCATGTTTACTGTTTCCTTCAGGAGCTCTTGTAAGGCAGGCCTGGTGGTGACAAAAATCTCTCATTTGCTTGTCTGTAAAATATTTTATTTCTCCTTCACTTATGAAGTTTAGTTTGGTCGAATATGAAATTCTGGGTTGAAAATTCTTTTCTTTAAGAATGTTGAATATTGGCCCCCACTATCTTCTGGCTTGTAGGGTTTCTGCCAAGGGATGTGCTGTTAGTCTGATGGGCTTCCCTTTGTGGGTAACCTGATCTTTCTCTCTGGCTGCCCTTAACATTTTTTCCTTCATTTCAACCTTGGCGAATCTGAGAATTATGTGTCTTGGGGTTGCTCTTCTCGAGAAGTATCTTTGTCGTGTTCTCTGTATTTCCTGAATTTGAATGTTGGCCTGCCTTTCTAGGTTGGGGAAGTTCTCCTGGATAATATCCTGAGGAGTGTTTTCTAACTTGGTTCCATTCTCCCCGTCACTTTCAGGTGAACCAATCAAATGCATGTTTGGTCTTTTCACATAGGCCCGTATTTCTTGGAGGCCTTGTTCATTTCTCTCTCTCTCTCTTTATCTATCTATCTATCTATCTATATGCACACACAGCCATGTGTGTGTATATATTATGTGTGTGTGAGTCTTATATATATATAAGAGATGGGATCTCAATCTGTTACCTAGACTGAGTGCAGTGGCACAATCATAGCTCACTGCAACCTTGAACTCCTGGGCTCAGGCAGTCCTCCTGCCTCAGCCTCCTGAGAGTCTGGAACTACAGACACACACCACTGTGCCTGGCTGATATTTAAATTATTTTGTAGAAATGGAGTCTTCTTTTGTTGCCCAGGCTGATCTTAAACTCCTGGCTTCAAATGATCCTCCTGCCATGGACTGCCAAAGTGCTGGAATTACAGTTGTGAGCAGCTGCACCTGGCCTTTCTGAGCAAAACTTAAATAGGAAGGTGAATCCTTTGAAAACAAATTCATATGTCTTCAAAGTGAATGTGAATTATTTTTGATTATTCTTCCTTTTGGATTTTCCAGGCCACCACACTGGTTCTACTTGCATGGACATTCAGATGTGAGACATTTGTTCCATTTTTAATGTTGTATTTTAATTTTAAAATTGTTTGGTAGTACTGTTTTCTCATTCTTGAGAATTGAACTATGGTAGGTGGGTTTTGCTCATCAAAAATGACGGTGCAACCAAATCAACACTAACCAAATCTATTTTGCTTATAGCCTTGGGCATACTACAAACACCTACTATCAAAGGGGAAGTAATATTGCTTTGAAGTTTTTCATTTAAGAATATGCAGTACTTTTTGTTTGAAAAAGGAAAGGCAGCCTTAAAAAGTCTTTTAGCATGAACACATGATATGTAGTACATCTGCCATATGTCTTAAAGGTGTGTAATATCAGTTGATATAAGCATGTTTGAAAAACCTGCTCTGACACTTTAACTTTTCAGATTAGAAAGAGAGTATTTCTCCAAAAACAAGAAACTAAATGAAGAGATCGAGGAACAGAAGAAAGTAATTATAGACCTCTCAAAGAGACTCCAGTATAATGAAAAAAGTTGCAGTGAGTTACAGGAAGAACTAGTAATGGTAAGAATAAAAAAGAAAACCCTATGGCAATCACTTTACTGGGTCGTAGTTGATGTATAGCAGGGTTGTTTTTCCTCACCACATTCCATGAGGTAATAGTATGAAAGTTATTTTAGTGACAAACAAAATTTCCAAAACTGGAAATGCTGATTACATCAAAGATATACATAATGAAATCTCTCTGATTTGGAATAATTGGGGGAAACTAACTCAACTAGTAAAAACTCTGAATTATAGAATTTTCAAAAATGTATTCAAATGTTTTCATTTTTTTATTGTACATAAAACAGTGTTACTTAGATTAAGGGTGATTGGGGTTTGTAATGAACACATCTGATGATTTCAAAGACTTCCTTTTGTAATTGTTTTGTACCTGATCACTCTCTCTCCATTCTCCAGTAATCTAGCTTTTACACAATAACCAAATTTATCTTTGTAAAATATTGATCTGTGTTTGTGAACCTCTCTTTATTCAAAACGCATCAGCATGTCAGTGTCTCCCTGTTGTTTTTGAAATAACGGCCAGTTTCTTGTTGTGTAATCTCAGGACCTTTTCCTTTTGTCTTCATGTTAACTTTTCTACCCTCTTCGTTTGCCTTTGTCCTCTATCTGTCTTGCTTTAGCTTCATTATAGTGTTCCTTGTTTTCTAAACACATTTTTTTCTTTTCTTTTTTTTTTTTTAAAGATGGGGTTTCATTCACTCTGTTGCCCAGGCTAGAGTGCAGTGGTGCAACCCTAGCTTACTGTAATCTCCAACTCCTGGGCTCAAGCGCTCCTCTTGCCTCAGCCCCCTGAGTAGCTGAGACTGCAGACGTGTGCCTCTGTGCCTGGCTGGTTTAAAAATTTTTTTACAGAGATGAGGTCTCGCTGCGTTGGCCAGGCTGGCAGCAAAAAAGTGGCCTCAAGTGGTCCTCCTGTCTTGGCTTCCCAAAATGCTGGGATTAAGGTATGAACCACTGCACTTGATCTAAACACATCTTTTCATATATTCTTATTTTTATTCAGGTTTTTCATTTCTTTGACCTGCAGTGACTAAAATGCTCCTTTTTGTTTCCATTGACAGATTTCTATACATCCTGTGATGCCCAGCTCTGATATCTTGCAATCTGTGAAGCTTTCTGTTATTCTGTCTTCCCCACTGTCATCCCCCTTGAGTTAAAATTCTGTGCCTCCTCAACAGTATTTCTTTAGTACTTAGTTCAGCATCTTTATCATAATACTCACCGAAATTTGATGTGTTTTATGTCTCCCAAGAGGATATGAATGCATTCAGGTTAGCTTACTTCATTTTACATACCTAGATTCCACTATAGTACTTGACTCAATAAACATTTGTTCGATGGATTTATTTGGTTGATGCAGAATCCTCTTCTCTGCAGTTTGCTGGGGACCCCACCAGGGAGGGTGTAAAGTTTATGGTAATACCGTATTACTTCTTTGTTTTGTTCTACACGTATATACTTTCCTCAGAGGCTTGACTGCTTCACTTTCAGTTATATTCCAAAAGTTTTAGTAATTTAGTTATTGAGGACAATGGCTATTATTCTCCTCAAAAAAGGTGGACCCTGGGTTATACTAGGATTTGGTCACCAAATCAGTGCTGCCCGAATCAAAAGCTTGGGATATAGTTAAAACTCTTCATTGTTTTGTCAGATGATCCAATATTATATACATTTTCCATTTATCTCAAGATATTTGCTGTGTTCTTATTCAGGAAATTGATATCATTGCTTGTTCTAGAAATCAGTTTGCAGTTTGGTATTTTGAATGTGATGTTTTAGAAAGTTAAGAGCCCTCTGTGTAGTCTACTTTAGCATCTGTTCACTGTAATGTGTCATCTTAAATTTCGTTGGCTGTTTTAACTCTTACCTCCTAGTTCAGGAGGTTGAATCAGTAGTGGAGAAAAATATGTCAGGGTCGTTGAGCTGAGTACTGCATTTGGTCTGCTTGCTTATTAGATATTGTACTGAATAGTTTGGAAAATAAGCCAGGGTTATAACTAAGAATGCAAGAGTTAAGACATATTCACCAATATAGGTTGCATGAATTTTCCTAATTCTAGTTTTCTAGCACTTTAGTGAGTAGATACAAAAATAAAATGAGACTGGTTTAACTCACCACAGAGCATATGCATATTTAGTGATTAAGAAAATTTACTTGGTACCAACAGATTTTTTTTTCTAAAACTTTTACAAAGTGATATATGGTCTCAAATAATGCTAGTGACAGCTCACCAGCAACCTATGTTTGCCTGTTGGGACCCTCTGCACTCATTGTATTCATTGTATTAACCCATTAAACACTACTGTTTTGATAATGATGCTGAAAATTGTAGGCTGTTTCTTCAAAGCTTGATGGATTGCTAAAAGCAGTTGCAGATCTGTGAATAATGTAGTAGTTCCTTGCTGAATGGGTTGTTTGAAAAACTTACTCAGGTTGCCAGACTAAGTGATGTACAATTTATGTGGCTCAGACCGTTAATATGTTCCTCTTAATTTTTTCATCTCTCTTAAACTCATAGCTTTGTGTCTTATTTTCTTCCATCTTTCTCTTCTTTATTCTTCCCTGTTAGCTTTCTTTTAACTTTTCTGTTTTATGCTGATTAGAGCTGCTGTTCTCTATTTCTTTACCTGTCCATAATATGAAATTTAAGACCTGTGTAATGAAAATGTCTTTAAATAGTAATTACAATGTTTTTCTTTTTATAAATTACTATTCTATCACTTTTCCTAAATATATTTTTTCTTGTACATATTCCTTTATTGACTTTTCTCTGTAGATTAGTGGCCTTTGGGGGAAAGAAGGCTTGAAAAATTTCTCTTGAAAGGTGTTTCTGCCAAATTAAAATTTTAAGCCCTAAGAAATGAAGTTTTTCTAGTTCTGCATTCACAGTCTTGCTGTTATTTGTGCTTTGAATTCATAATTGTTGTTGACTGAAGAGAGAATGACTTATGAGGAAGATTTTCCCTTTTGCTTTTAGAAATGAAATTGTTTTAATGACATGCCATGATTTTACATACCCTAGTGTGTCTTTTCCACTGTTATATTTCTTTTGAGCATAATAGTTTTAGTATTTTACAGACTATAGATGGGAAGCATAAATTACCGACAGGTAAGTTTTCTTCCCCTTTGAGGTACCAGCTTGTTTTCTAGTTTAGGTCAGGTTCATGGTCATTATTTAAGTCTTGGTCTTTATTTTCTCTGTTACATTGCAAAAGAAAGTTAAAGTCACTATCCTCTGTAGGTTTACTCGTGAGATCAAGGTGTTATTAATAAGATACAAAGACTTGAGGAATTTTGAGACTCACAAATAACTTTGTATGTGTTAGTACAGCATAGCCTTATGCTGTATCCTGGGCTAGATACAGCAGCAGAGCTGTTAGAGGCTTTAGAGATCATCTAGCCTAGGATACAGAAAGTCTTAATAAACTACTTGGACAGTGATAGCTCCCCTGTTTCAAGAGAGATATTATATAAATATAAAACATAATTTTGGAAAACTCTAAACTGAGTATGTTGTCTTTTGTGGGTTTTTAATAAATATAAACCTGCCAACTTAATTGTACTTTATTTATTTTTAAATGACACAAAATAATTGTATTAATACGTATTTGTAGGGTACACTGTGATGTTTTGATATATATAACATAAAGTGATCAGATCTGGGTAATTACTATATTATCTCAAACATTTATCATTTCTTTGTATTCTAATTATACTTTTATATTAATGAAATTACTTTTATTCAATGTATAGATTTAAAAGATACAACTAATAAATTAATGGTATATAATTATTATTTTGAATGTCATAGAATTAGTAGGATTTCAACATAGGACATCCAAGGACTTAACAAATTTATTTTCATGTTTACGTGAAGATGTGAACACAGAATATGAAACTTGACAGAATTTGACTATAAAAAATTTTGATTGGAAATTGAGCTTTTAGTTTCAAAATCTATGAATTTAATAATGATTTAATCAACTACTAAATAAAACTGAATTTCTAGTTTAAGGCGCTTAGTGATCATGCTTGTTAAAGTCCATCTGAGGCTCAACAGATCCAGCTGGGTCTTTTAGACATTACTGTGAGTTTTTATATCTGCTTCTCTTGAAGCAGGGGAGCTTTCATTTTCAAATTGGTATTATTAGAACTTGCTCTGTGCTTTCTTCAATGAAATTTTCTTGAGTCCGTCATTTCTTGAGATTTGTTTTTCTGCCACTCAGTAATATTTAGTTACAGCTCTAGGAGAGACTTTATATTGAAAAGGGAATTCTAGTTCTCATGAGGTTTTGCTCAAAGAATGTTTTATTCTCTAAAGAACTTGTGATTGAAAATGGTCAAGTGTATATTTTTTCCCAATACTTTTGGGGGCTTAACTGATTATATAATAATAATGATTGCCAGCATTAAATATGATTTTGGAAAGTGTTTTGATGGTTATGCTTTGTGGTGAAGGTAATATTTCTTGATAATATTTTTACTTCCAATGAACTATTAGGTTTGCTTTGGAAGAACATGTTTCTGATTTTGTAGGAGGTTTTCAAAACTAATGGGCTAATAAATATGCTATTCCAAATTTTTAATAAAAAATGATTGATTCTTGTTTTGCACCAAGAATAGGAGTAGTATTTATACATGGACATTGTTTTTGCTAATATAAATATCACTTTCCGTTTCTTTTAGTGGCCCTTAAGTTTTAATTCTAATAAATAATATTCATCGCGTATGTGTCTTTGTGTATTTAAATATTCCTTTTAGGAGGCTGACTTCCTAAATTTATGGTATAGGCATAAAACTTTTGCATTAAGCCTTTTGAAATTTATTTCTATGCAAATTAGTAAATTTTGAAAATCCAAATCTCATTTTTCACCTGGGAAAAAATAAAATGGTATTGTGTACGTATGTGTGTGAGAGAGAGAGAGAGCAAGAGATCGCGAGAGAGATGTTTGTATGTTAAGGCCCCTATTCAGATTGAAAGGTAGCACCTGCTGAA